AAGATTTGCGCCAGGCTTGCTTTATTAAGCAATATACAACAAGTTGTTTGAACTCAAGTGCCTTTTAGTTCCAGATCTGCACGTGACTGTTTTCATTGTTTTATTTTTGAGCTTTGTAGATGCTTCTTTTATGAAAACTATACTTGTGAACAGTTGTTGGATGCACAGTGATCAATAAGTGACCTTTTTTATACCTAAAAACAGACTTAGATTTAAGTTTAGGTCGTCTTCAAACAGGGAGGCCTTGGAGAGGGTGGGCCCGGGGGTGGGGAGGGTATTGGTATACGATTACATCTGTGCCGTAACAAGGAGACTGCAGGGTTCTCTGTATATTGAGGTGTTCTATAAATCGTAAAGGAAGACAATGCATAGTTGCATATTATGCTGGGTTTAGGTCATAATTCTGCAAACTGGAATACTATGGGATCTCCTTATGCTTTATGGGGAGATGTGTTCCCCTAATAATCGTGCTTATCGATCCTTGTTTTTTAAACTGGATCCAAACTTTGAGTTTATGCCCAATTTAAACCCAACTTCCAGTTAGGCTCCCTACAGTGAAGAAAGTGTTGACCAAAACATATTTTTCAAAAGAAAACCCCAAGATTTCCCTTCATACTATACTCTAGCCCCATGGTTCTCAACTGGTGGGTCGTGGCCCCGTGTTCAGTGGGTCCCCGCATGCCTTCCACTTTTCTAGGTGAGAGGCTCCTCAGCCTCCCCCTAGCGCAACACCGTCCATTCTTACACCAAGCAGCCATTCAAAATATGCTGCCTGGCGCCGAGTGTCGACTTGAGATGTGATGGGGGTATGACCGTGAGGGAGATCCATCCATACTTGCATTGCTTACAGCTTCCTCACATGTCCTGTAGAGGTGCCTGGACCAGAGTGATGTCACCTTCTGGCACCTCTACAGGGCATGAATGGGAGCTGTACAAGTAGATGCACATATGGATCACAGCACAGCAGCCCACACTGCCGTGCCTACAATTGCAGTGCAACTTGGGTCGGGACTTCATGACCGAGGACAAATGTGGGTCCTGAGGTTACACAGGTTGAGAACCACTGCTCTAGCCTATGCTGCTATACAAACAAAACAAATATCATTTGCCTTCAGATTTTTAAAGCTACGTTCTATCTGTGCAAACAAATGTTCTGTACTATGGGTTCTCATGTTTTGACATTTTGTTTAATACAAGCTAAACTCAAAAGTAACAATAACATTGTAGTAGTAATGTAAAATGTGTTACGTATTTGCAAGAACACCATGAGGCACATTTATAAAGCTGTCAATCTGACATTTACCAAAGATTCACGGGAAGTTGTTTTAATGAGTGATTGATTCACTATTAGTGAATGTTTGGTAAAAGTCCAATTAATTCCTTTATAAATATACCCTTTTCTAACACGAGAGACTAGCAGCACACCAAAAACAGAACAGCAAAATACTAAGGGGCTTGTTGTTAAAAGGAAAACTCCTCCAGGGGGAATATGCTGCATAATCACAACCCATTGTGCCCGTGTGGATTTGTTTCTTAAAAACACCATTTAACTAGGAGCCCTTAGAATCTATTTTTGGGCATGGTCTCCTTTTGTCTCCGTAGCTCTTGTTGGCTTGTATCCGACTGAATAGTTGCTCCTTGATGCCATTGGGCTCCCCACAATACAGGCAGGAGCTGGCAGCAAAGTGATTGGCTATTGATCTCTGGGGTACACAATTAAAGTAAATCTTGGCCTTCCAGTTTTTTTTTTTTTTTTTTTTTTTTTGGTTGATTTCCAACGAGGTGTGAGTGA